GGCACCTCTACATGACATTGCGCGCACTCGCGCGCACACGCACATGCCGGTTAGCCTCTATAATGGTAAATTACTGAGTGCTTCATATTTTCCAGGCTCAAGAGAATACATAACTTTCATGACAGTGGATGGGTTGTGGGTCTCGCATGTTTGGTGGGATCAGGAAGGTAATCAATATTTCTAGTTCTTATTAGTTTTCTTACTTCCCCTTCTTAGCATGCTTAGCTATATAGATGGTGTGGTCATTTACATGATTACATCCTTTTCGTTTCCTATGATTATAGATTAGTAAAAGCATGTGTTCGTTTATCTATCTGCAGGCTTGTAGTTGCACACAAAACTGGAGTGTCGTTGATGGAAATTCGTGATGAAGAGGAACAAGGTGGTAGCACAGGCAGCAATGAGAATTCCTTATTAGCGACAAATTTGGAAATCCAAAGCTAGTACCACTTTGGAGTATAACTCATTTTTCTCGAAGTGATACATATGGCACGTCTACGTAGTTGACCACCGTGTCCAACATCATGAATTCCTAGATCTGGAATTTGAACGATTGCTTTTTGGAGATGAAAAGTGTCGTTCGGAGCTCAACAACCAGCCAACTCTCTCACAGAGGTGGGCATTATCTAGATTGTGTGTAGAAGTTGATGATTTCATGAAGATTAGTTATTTTTGCTCGAGAGTGCAGGGGCATATACATTTGCTTGAAAATGGTCCAGGTGATGACTTCTGAATGAAGAGATACTCTATAAAGTAACAATCTAATGGTTGGGGATCCGATCCATCTATGTATTATACTATAGATTAAAGGTAATTTATGGGTTAATCAGAAAAAGAGAATTTACGAGTTAACCAGAAAAAAGAGAATTTACGAGTCAATCCAAACCATCTAGCTATTAACAGTAAGAGGATAGTAGAACGAGGCTTGATTTCTCGAACACAAGTAGGTGACACAAGGATTATACAGGTTCAGACCCCTCTTCGGTGGAGGTAAAAGCCCTAGTCATGTTCTCACGTAGAGATGTTTCGCGTATGGATTTGTGAATACAAAGGTTTCTGAACCCGTATCTGGACACCAGGGGTAGACTATATAGAGAGTTCGCTATACCCCCTGGGCTGCTGCTATTCACGTTACATGTGAGATAAAGGGAAATGATTCGTGTCAACTACCAAAGATAATGGATGTTCTAAGACTATCTATACTGGGAGTAACTTCAAGAGTAACATAAAGTCCAACTCAGCAAAATTGCTTATATATCAATGATTTAATGAGGAGAGAGAGATGATTTGAGTAACATAACTAGTTACTCACACTATGAGTAACATCACACATATCAAGACAAGATTAGTCTACAAGCTAATAAATGAAGTGTTGCATGACACCACATATATATTACTTCCCACTATAGAGGTAGTAACATACACAAGTAACATACACAGGTAACATATACATGTTACTAGTCTAAGTTATTCCCCACTGTGAGTTGTCTAATTGCTATTGGTGGTATATAACACCAGGCCTCAATGCTGAGTGGACGTCTCTATTAATGCTTCGGGCTGTTGGGCTCCTGTTACTCCAAGTGAAGAATGTCCTTGCGTGCCGAGTGAAGTAATCCTCCTGCGGGTGCCCATGTCGAGTCATCAAACCCCCATGTTGTTGCCTTGTCTTGGTTTGTAGAATATATGGGCTTGGGCCTCCATGTTCCCTGGGTTTTATGTCTCCATGGTCCTACCCGGTGGAGGATGACCTTGTCCTTAGCCTCCGAATCTGTCAGGATCTTCACGGGAATCTGAATCCCGATTAATTGTTAGATTTTGATGAGCAGCAGATTTGCTCAGAAGAGATCTTGATGGTTTCTAAAGAGCAAAACATTTATGGCTTGAAGTATTATGAACAAGTTTTTAGGAAAAGTTTTATATATATTGTAGTTTAATTTTAATTTTTGGAATTACTTTTATTTATAACCATTTATTCTTAATTGATTAGAATGTGTTTAATAATATTATTTTGTCAATATGAACATTATTATATTATATTATGAGGCTTCAATTTTTTGTCTTTTTTATTTGTGGGTAGGTGGTGATCATTTCTATATTATATTATACTATAGTTTAATTTTACTTTTTGGAATTACTTTTATGTATAACTATTTATTCTTAATTGACTAGAACGTGTTTAATAATATCATTTTGTCAATGTGAACATTATTATATTATATTTTGAGACTTCAATTTTTTGTCCTTTCTATTTTTTGGTAGCTCCAATTAGTAAATATATATAAATAAAAAATGAACGGGCGTAGCAGCTCGCGCGAACGTAGCAGGAAACACCCGACCACTACTCAACGCGGCTCGGCCTGCTCCGGAACCGAAACTGAGAAACGCGCTATCGGGGTCGTATTTCCGATTATTTATTAATCAGGTCGGTGGGTTATTATTATCGGAGACCGCGGCGGCCAGGCTTGACCACCTCGTCGCCGTCGTCCGGTCCGCACTGTACTATATACAAACCCCAGGCGGTGGCACCGCCTCCACCTCCACACCCCACCTCGATCCCCACCTCCACCTCCATCCCCATCCCCCCGAGCCCTACCCAGCAGCGCACGCCACCCGCCGATCCGGGCCATGGACGCCAACTGGCGCCCCACCCAGGGGTCGGATCCCGCCGCCGGGGGCGGGGGCGTTGACCCGAACGCGCCGCCGCCCCCCGCCGGGGGCGACTGGCGCGCCGGGCTCCAGCCCGACGCCCGCGCCAGGATCGTCAACAAGATGTAAGCAGGGCCCCCGATCGATCTGATCCGATTGGGTTCGCTTTCCCCTCCTCTAATCCTATGATTCGATCTTTCGTCCCCCTTTTCGGGTCAATTTTGTCGTCGGTCGATCTGATAGAGCCTCGATCTAGCTAGCGGCGGCAACCTATTCGCCCTCGATCTACGCACAGAGCGCCCAGTTTGTGCGCCCCTCTGTTCTTGATTAGTCGAAATTCCCCGGTAGTCGAATTCACTAATCAGCCTGTAGGGCACCCGCTTCGAATCCATCCACCCAATTTACTTTATTAACCAGACCAGAATTATATCTGACCATTTTGACACGAGTTTGTTGGCCAAGAGGTGCGAATTTGCCATGCCACAGAATATCATAACCTTTGTTTCACCGCGTACGTAGCTAGGGTAAACCATTTTGTTAGTTTTGTTCCTGAACTAGGGTTCCTCGAATGCTTCCGCAAGGAAATTTTGCATATTATGATTGATGATTGGTTGTCTGTATTGGCTGCGCTGCCTGCTCTTGTTCCACTTTACATCTCAGATGCGGCATGTTTTATTGCACACAACTGCTGAGAAGCAATGCGTCCCCTGAATTTATTCAAATTCTGCGTGATGCGTGCAGAACGGAAACTCTGAAGAAGCATCTGCCAGCGTCTGCGCCAGACGGAGTGAATGAACTTCAAAAGATCGCCGTGCGATTCGAAGAGAAGATCTATACTGCAGCAACCAATCAGGTTTTTTTTAACCTATCTTCACTGCTTCTCTGAGCAGAGCACACAAATATTAGTTATGGGGTTTTCTTCTAGAAACAGAGTTTATGGTATAATAATACAGTAGAACTGCCTCCAATTGTGAATACATCCTGATTTTTCTCATGCTTGAGAACAAACAAAAAAATTATGTGCTGCCGGGACTCAAACTATTTGCAGCACATCCCAGTTATTTTTCACATTTAGTGTACATACATAATGTAAGTTAACAAGCTACTATATTTTTAATGTATGTTACATAAATGATAGACCAAAACACTAATCCTAATCTTGGTTATCATCGATCACATGGTGAATCTCGTACGCTTGTACCTTAAGCGTCTGCAGTTACTTACTCTTCCAATTCATGTTTCTATGCCATGTGTCCATGCATCTGAATTTGTTATAGATGAAATAAAAGTATCTTATGTTGGAAGGATAGTACTACCCAAGACCATGGGATTCACAGTGGTATACAATCATTTTTCTCGGACTAAAAATAAAACAAGACCTTGCTTCCTCCTTCCCTCCATTTGAACGGGCTTTATCTGAGTTGCATATACTCCAGTCTGGTAAAAAAAATTCAATTGTATTTGTTTGGTTGGGGTGTATCATACCACCATTTCCATTTTGAATTTCTGTTCGTCTGGCTTATTTGTTGCAAACCTTGGAGCAATCTACAACTCTTCATCATATTGCCTAACTCAGTTATGGTGAATGTTTGTTTATTTGATAAAGTTGGGGTACAGTGTCACTATTTTGATTTGGATTTACTGTTCATATCACTTATTCGAGGTGCTGTGTTTTGCTGCTTAGATAGCATTTATTGAATTCAATTGTTAAGAGCGGAGACACCTTCTCTACCATGCTAAACTGCTTGCATCAGAACTGTTGATTGCAAGCCACTATTACTAATTTGGTATAGAACTTTACACCATTTTCTTTTGTATTACTCAGTCTGATTATTTGCGGAAGATTTCTCTGAAAATGCTCTCTATGGAGACGAAGACACAACAGGCTGCTGGAAATGCTCAAGTGATTCCAAATCAAAATAACTCCAGTAAGGTGTCATATACAATAAACTGAGTGTTGCACAATTTATCATCTTTGCTTGAATGTCAATATTTTATTCCATCAAGTGCTGAGATTATGTGCTTTATTGCATTACATCACCCTCCCCTCTCCGGCATAATGTATGAGAATTTCACATCTAGCTTGTGTCGTGTGTGCGTATTTATTGAACCCAGAGCGACACGGTAAGTGCCTCAGTTCAGTGGTCAGACCACCGGTTCGGCGGTTCAATCTGTTGGTTCAGATACTCCCTCCGATCCTAAATAGTCTGCGTATAACTTTTTGTGGTTTTTTCCTATTTAGTCTGTGCCTCAGCCAAAACAAGCACTACTTTCCTAATCTACCCTCCTCCTTCGTTTCCTAGCAATTACTCCTCTGCATGCATGCAGAGAGGAGATTGGGTGCGTGTGGGGTGGAATGAGTAGAACGAAGCAGGGGGAGGAACGAACCAATCGCTGCATGCTCATTAATCACGCTTGCTTCCCCGTATCTCATGCAGATCACACCAGCTTAAGGGCAAAGTAGTCCAAAATATTCTATCCAAAGGGCTCCTTGGTATTTGGGCTGGGAGTTATGCGCAAAGAAAAGAGGAACGGAGGGAGTATAATATTATTGTATGTTTTTTTAGTATATGGTAGAAACAATGTTAAGTATGAAGATAACAAACAAACAGTTCAGTTAGTTATTCGACTCGGGTAGTCCACCTTGCTACCTTGAAGACAGTCCGAGTCTTTGCACACACAGAATATTTTATTGACCCGTGGTCCAGCGTCAGTTTGGGTTCTTCAACCTGGTTTTCCAAACAGCAGGTTGATCGGCTAAACAGCCTTCACTGTGAACTAGATTGGAACAGGCTTGGTTCGGGTTTATTCTGGTCAGACTAGCGCTCTGGTCGGTTTTAACAACGATGCATGTGTTAGCAGTAGCATTGAAAAGGTTCACTTTTTAAGTTGAGCTATTGCAAAAGTTCACTTTTCAACCTTGAACTTTGAAACTTGGTTGTTTTTAACTGTGAACTACCAACCCCCCCACTCCCTGATGGCCTCTTGTTGGCATTAGTGGTCGCCGACAAGCTAGGAGTTTTGTTGGGGCATCCCCAACGGGAGCATCATCAGCCTCAAGCTGAGTGGACAATAAAATGCCATCTATGCCGACAGACTCGTTCATCATGTTGAGATATGATTGCTCACTACATATACGCAAACATGAAACTAATGAGCATTGCATCGACACCATCATTCAAATTTTCAAACTTTGCATTGAATTTTATTAATATAGCAAAAACAGGAGAATGAAAAATAAAAAATATACATTTCGGGCGTGTAGTCAAACACCTCGTGGGCATCGTCCATATCGATGTCTTCGCCGGTGGTGGTGCGGTGAAGAATGCCGGTGGGGTCGCAGTGAAGGAGGCTGGCGGTGGCATGGCCATTGTCGCCCTCGGCTTGTTCGCTGCTGCCCGGCATGGCGCCTCCATTCTCTCCCACGATGCCGGCAGGGACGGGACACGAGCTTAGCGGTGCTCCTGCCCTGGGTGTCGCCG